GTGAATGGAAAGCAAAAAATATGGGTGGCTCAAATTCGAAAGCCGCGCCGTTTGGTATTACGGTAAAGGAAAAATACATCTAAAAAGGAGAGTATATTTCGATTTATAACCTATCATTTATTAAATGCAAACTAATTCGTTTTATCGAAAACTGTCAAATCGAAAAAAATCGGCGTCGATGATGCATCTTTTCTGGGAAAGTACTTCCCCCACATAATCGTCTGTGTCGCCTTCGGCGGCTTGTCTAAGAAAAGGACTTCATCGCAAAAGTAAATGCTCTTTTAATACCAAAGCCTACGACTAATATATTCCTAAGCAACGAGGGGACGTTCCTTAATTAGTTTTCGACTGAAGTATGGCTTCATCGTAGCTGTCTGCTGAAGAAAGCCGCATTCTCTTTTTAATTATATACCAAGAGAACACTGACATATATTTCAATTGTATAACCCTAACGGACATATAATGGTACCTTTGTACTATTTGACGAATAAAATCGTCATCTTGTTTCGTTGTAGACAGTTTTGCTCATGAATCTTACTTCTGGACACTGTCGTATAATTAATAATTCTCGAGATTGTGGCCTGATTAATATCAAATATATCAGCTATTATACTATCTATAAGCTACTATATTATATGGCAGCCCTTTGGCTGCATATTTTTCGTATTTGCACGAAGTCGGCGTCAGACAGGAAAGGCTTTGACATCTGAACAGCACGACACGACACAGACAAATGGAAGCATATCGCGGATTCTAGTTTATATATCAAAATGTCGGTCATAGATATCGGTATGGTTTAAATATTTTTGTAATACAAATCTATAACTGCATTTTATGGCGTAAAACGTCACATATTATCAAATAATTATTTTTAAAACTGAATTTTTTCCTTTTTTCTCAAGCTTAATGTGATTCCTTAAACTTGGCATCACTTCCATTTGAGCATCTTCGGACTAAATATTTCCGTTCCTGAAGGGACTTATTTGCACTTTTATTACTTATTTTGGTGTTCTCCCATAGCTTAATGCACATTATTAAAAAGTTTGTTCTGTAATACCTTTTAGCATAGGAAATTCCTTCGATATATACTTAGCCACAATGTAGCCAAAATTAGTGCGCATTTCGCTCCGTAACTTTAACTAAGAGGGCATTTTTGTGGACTAAAGCCTTTCTAATTATTAAATCCACTTTTTTTATCAAAATAAATTGGCCAAACCTATGCTAAACTACCAACTTAGATTTTTTCATGAAAATCGCATGCAGAACTTGCCATGCTATATACATGGGCTTTACTGTGCACGTATTTCCTGAAAAACCACAAGCCTTTATCCAACGTTATTTCTGCATGCAGTTTGGCAGTGTCTTTTGTAAGAAATTGCCCTCAAAATTTACTTCTACCAATCGACTTTAATTTGCAAAATGTGTGTGGGATAAATTAGTTTTTTTCCCCTTTTGCATCCTT